CAGTGAGATGAAATGAGAGTCATGAGAGTAAAACCAGCGAGTTGTGTTAGTCACGCAGTGAGAAGCAGGTTTGATTCTCACCACACGCTGTTCTCTCATGGCCACATTAAAAAGGCTGTGAAGTAACTACTTTCTGAGGTCTTGAGGGGATTTCCATGACATATCAGAACTATTCATCTGCCTTTGAGAGATAAGCTCTGTCTAAGATTTTGGGACATCCCAGAAAAGCCCTTGGTCTATTTCCTCTGCCTGAGGTCAGAGACATTATGACCACCAACAACTAGTATCTTTGTCAACTTGTTCCATGATGGCCTTCATTTTTATGTGATTTCTTTGAATCACATTTTCATGAATTCCATTTAGGTGAAATGGAATGAAGCAAAGCTAAGTGAATGACTTGGGTCGGAGCAACGAAGCTCAAGTTACAGGTCTGCTAAATAAAATTAACATGTCCTCTGGAGCTAGACTGGGTGTTCTACTGACTGCACAGCATGTTTGTCCCCTGCTTGTTGGCTACATGCAAAGTTCAAACAACAATTGTTAAGGCAAAGAGCCAATCTCAAAACTAAATTCCGAAGGAGCTTAAGACATTAGCAAGGAAGGGGATGAGGGAAATCAGAAGGCAAAAACAGACTCGGGGGGGGGGGAGTCAGGACTAAGCATAAACTCACTGGATACCTCGCTATGCACACTTTGCTAGTATTGTGCTGGACCCCCCCCCCCTTTTTTTTTTTTTTTTGGTCTTCAGAGCTGCCTTAAATCTTTGTGGCATCAATGATGTTGATTTGGGTCCAGTTGATGAGATTTGCCTGCTGTACATTCATGATGTTTTTTTTTCTTGTTCCACCACATCTCAAAGGTGCTCTATTAAACTGAGGTCTGCTGCCTGTTGAGTTAATTTGAGAGCAGTGAACTCTGTCATGTTCAATAAACCAGTTTGAGATGATTAGAATTTTATGAAATGGCATATTATCCTGCTGGGACCAGCCTATAGCTAGCGTATAAATTATGCTCAGTTGGCACTAAGTGGCACATTGTGCCAGGAAAATATTCCCCAGACCATTATACCACCACCTGCCTGAATCATTGATACAATATAGGGTATTTTTATATTTGTCCAGAGATAAAACTCAAAACTACAAGCCCCACAGAAACCCCATCTAATTGTTTTCTGGTGTTAGCCAATTAGAATAAGATTAACTTAAAATGGAAGGAGCTAAAGTTTTTCTGTTTGTTTGTTTTTTAACAGAGGATGAACTGAGGTGCCACACCAAGTGCAGTATAAAAATAAGGATTATTTTGAATTCTCAGTCAAGCAAAGCTGCCCTATGGGAGTTGAAGAACTAAGTATAAATCATTATTATGCATTGGGATTAAATACCATTGTGTTTTTTTTCTCATGCGTACTTGCATTTCTATAGTTTGACAAAGAATAAAACATTTCGAAAGAAGCTCTTGTTTATTCTGCGTGGGACAATGTGTTTTTAATTGCAAGAAGAAGGCACATCTTAAATAACCATAAGAGAATTGGAGCAGCACCAACCCAGCATTGCTGCCAGTGAGTGCACAATATGAAATACAATATATGAAATTCACCTGCTCACAATAATAATGTTAGATCCAGAATAGTGGAGGCCAATTACTCTTGTTTGAGAAAATAGCATTTTGTTTTTCATTTTTAAGGGAAAGGGTACCATTAATTCTGGTAACTTAATATTGAAAATAGCCAGGTTCTCAGTCAGACTAGCTGAATGTACTGTGCAAATAAGTGTTGCATATAGTCTGTGAAAAGAGCTTGTTATTTGCAGAGAGGAGGAAACTGGAAACCAAGCAAGCAACACCTGAAAGAAGCAGAAAAGGAAAAAAACAAACCCACAATAAAACCCAAAGGAAGTGGTGTTTTTGTTTTTTAATCTCATTCTCTAGCATTGAAATAAACACTGTTTTGAACATGAGATATACTTTAAGCATAGTTAGCAAAAGTTCAGACACTCTGTACTTAAGTAGAAGTACAAATATTGCTGTTAAAAATACTCCCGTAAAATTAAGCAAAATAAATTGATATTTTCTATTTCCAAAACTGTAGAACATAGGTGTTAAACTCTGGCCCGCAAAGCCATACCAAATTACTATTAGAGCTGGCCTACTGGTATTATACAGCTAATATATATATTGTTTAGTATTAAGCTTTGCTTGTTCCATATTCAGTTTTTCAGCAAAACATGTTTGAGTCCATAAGAAAAGATTCATTCTTGTGTCTGGAGGAAGATTTTTTTTTTTTTTCAATAAATATTAATGTTAGCCCACGACTTTGTTCCAGTTTTGAATTTTGGCCCACTTTGTATTTGAGTTTGACACCCCTGCTGTAGAGGGTGACTTTGCCTCTAAACAAAACAATGTGTGCAGTCAGGAATTCATGAGGTGGGGGAACCCTAAAACTGCTCACTGTGGGGAAAAGACTCATAATTCATAATAATTTCTATTGAGAGCTCCATTAGGTTTTCTTTGTGTACAGGCTGTGATCAGCTGACCTGTTGTTCTTTGTGGATGTACACAAATGAATTCAACAGCATGTCAGTAGTTCTGTCTGATTTCAGGGCTCTACACTGACAGCACACTGTTTATAGTAGACTGTATAAAGTTGGTATGAAGGTGGAATTAGGTCAGTAAGCATCATCAGCTAAAATTCAAATGAATCTCTGCTACACTTCACGTAACCTTACTCTGACCATGAAACCGCAGCCAATGTGCACCAGTCACACACTGTTCTTTAATTTAAACCCATCACACTACAGCAAACTAACCTGTTTATCTTCCATTAACATGCAGAGGATTTTCATGCAACCTTTAAATAACAGTTAGTCTACCTCAGTTTGTTTAGCAGCATGTTTCACAACATGAAAAAATATATAACAATGTCACATGAACAGACCGAAAATCTCATTTAAAAACACAAGGACTTACATGTACATTTCCAGTTTATCAGATCCCACTGAGCAGCCCTTACCTTTCAATCTAACCTCTCTTCTTCCTCTACTGTCCTGTCTTTCTTATCTTTCTCCATCTCTGAGTGAAGCTAGCTCTCTTTCATTTCTCTCCCTGTGAAATACAGCAGCTTGACCTTTGGCTGTGACAAATTACACAGGAACAGTTTGCGTGTTTGCTGATGTTTGTTGAGCTGATAAAACGCTGCATTTGATATGACCTGCCACTTAAAAAAAATGTTACTCCCTTTAAGCTCGCTCCTCCAGAATTAAAAAAAACAAAACACCGTCCCACTTTTAACCCCTGACTTTTGCACACGTTATCTCTTTTTATGCGAGAACAGGACTACCTTTCATGTCTTTCTGTTTAGGCTCAAATCGGTTTGATGTTTGAAGGCTCGCAATGATAAAATAATAACTCGACCCAAATGCGTTAAAGCAAAAGTAACGTTTTGAAAATGTCGAAAGTACAGATATTTGTTTAGAAATGTAGGGTGTAAAGGTAATAAGTAGTCAGAAAACAATACTTAAGTACTGATACATGAAAATTGTAGTTAAGTACAGTAACAGAGTATTTGCACTTTGTTTCTTCCCACCTCTGACTTTAAAACAGTAAAAAGGAAAATTCTAGCTATGGGAAAACACATTATTGCCATAATAGGTTTGTTAAATTTTAAACAATGAATAGAAATAAAACAATTAAATTAAATTAAATTGGAACATTTGAGCTCAGCATGGTTGAAATATTCTGGAAAAAAACACTCAGAAATATTGGGATTAAAGTTAATATATTCACTGTAAATCAAATCAAAAGGCAAAAGATCAGGTATAAATGCACAATTAATGCCACTTTACATTTTTTATTTATTTAATTTACCCACAAGTAGATAAATTTATATCAGATTTGAATTAGTTAAGACGAATTTGAAACTACTCATTATACCAGAGTAAACATGATATGTCAGATTTTTGTCCGTTTCTGATCATCTGTATCAACTTTATCCTTTGAATTATTATCAGTTTATTACCTGTGGCAAACGTTTTTAAGGGAGATTTATGATAGCAAATTAGGAGAATTATATGTTAAATGAATAGACTATCATTATCTAGAGAAATCCTGAGTTTCATGGATTGAAGTTTCTTAAGAAAACACACATTGCCTCAGATAGTATTAAAAATTGTTGTTTCAAATGTACATTTTGATCTTGGATGTTTTTTTCTCTGGTATATATAATAATTAAAAAACACACACGTATGAAAAGAGCACCAGCCTACAGTTCGTTTTTAGTGGAATACGCTTTTAAGGTGACCCGGAAGTGTTTCTATTTACACCGGATATCGAGCTTGTCAATGTGACCTGCCGTTACTTGCACACAGTTATGTTTTAATAGACGCGATTAGATAAACACTTAGAAAATGTTTCTCACCACAGTAAACTGTAAGTATTTTATTCTCTTAAATCTTGTCTTCAAACAGCACGACGCATGCGTACTTAGAGCTCTCCCAATACGCTGTTGTGGGGTTAGCTGATGCTAAAACGTGAGCTGCTCTTAAAATATACGTCTGTTCATGTGGGCAGTCACTGTGAAATATTTTATAATAAATTTATTTCACACGTTTCAGTGGTTTTGGGTTTTAGAGAGATAGATTTAGCTTCTGGATAGTACAGCAGTATGTGTTCAGTGTCCATTCACTGGGCTTTGTAAGTGCGGAAATCTCAGAAAGCACCTGTGCTACTCGAGAGGTAGTTTTTCTTTTCATTTAGATGTGTAGGAGAGTCTTTGAGTTTTCAGCAGATACTTGCACACAACCTTAACAGCTTTAAGGACTTTCTGGGGCTGGTGTTGGCGTGCTGTTAGCAAGTTTCCACTAAAATCCCGTTGCTCTGAGTGCTGCTGAACGATATCTGTTGGATTCACCTGCATAAGATTCTTTCTTTTCTTTTCTTTTTACAGTGGCGAAGGCAAAATCCAAGTAAGTGCACTGGCTGATTCTTTGAAAGTCTAGTCAATAGGCCTCATTCACACATGAAGCATAAGGCTGTGCGTAAACCGTGCATACTGAGGATTTACGCGTAAATTTCTGTTTCATTAAAATAATCTTAACTGAATTTGCACTTCGGAGTACAGATGTACCTTTCCTTTACGTCATGGAAACGAACACGTGATGAAAGCCGGGCTGTCTTAGAGCATTTAAACAAACATCTTTACACTTAATGCTATTACTTATCCACATGTTGGATCCCATCCCTAATCCAACTCTAACCATTTGTCCAAGTCGAGGTCAGGCAGGAGTCTCGTGGGATGTGATGTTTGTAGACGGCATTGTAATCTGTACTGGGAGTAGAAAGCAGATGGAAGAACGTCTGGACAGTTGGAGGTATGCTCTGGAGAAAAGAGGAATGAAAGTCAGTAGAACACGTGTAAGTGAGAGCAAGACAGGTGTAACAGTGAAACTACAAAGAGAAGAGGTGGTGAAGGCGGATGAGTTTAAATACTTGGGCTCAGCCATCCTAAGTAATGGGCAGTGCAGAAGAGAGTGCAGGCAGGGTGCAGTGTCAGGGATAATTTCTTATATATCATTTTTTTAGCCACAGGGACCGGAAAGTTTACAAGATGATAGGTTCGATGTATGGTTTGGAGACAGTGGCACTAACGAACAAAATAGAAGGCTGAGCAGGAGGTGGCATTATTTAAGATGGGAGTGGCCATGATGGACAAGATTAGACATGAGTACATCAGAGGGACAGCTCAAGTTAAGTGGTTTGAAGACAAGGTTAAAGAAGCAAGCCTGAGATGGTTTGAATGGGCAGAGGAAAGCTGGCAAATACACTGGATAAAGGATGTAAAGTATGGAGTTGCCAGGCAGGAAGAAAAAGAGGACTACTACAGAGAAAATTCATAGATGTAATGATGGTGGACCCTAAAGGGAGCAACCAAAAGAAGAAGAGCACTACTAATATGAATTTTTATTATTATTAGTCATTTCATCTTGGTCATTAGTTACAGGTTTCCAGAATAAGATAAGCAAAATGTTTCTCAGAATTGAATAACGAACTGTAAGGAATTCAGGGTTTGACATGAGCACAGGGCCGGTATAACTGTACGTCAGGCAAGTTGCTTCTCCAGGTGCTGACTTTGTTTCCACCTGTCACAGCAAACTGGTTAAAGCCACCCTCACTGAAGAATATTTTTCTCTTGTTTTGTCATTTTAAAGAAAGCATGTGATATTTCTGAAGCAGAGAGTCTATTATTGTGTGACTATTAAGGTGGTTTCCTCCTGTGACACTAACCCTTTCTACTTCAGTTGTGCTGATTGCAGGTAGTGCACACAAACCTGACGGGTTAGAATAATCCAGTGCACAAATCCAACGCTAATTTTGTGCAGAGGTTAAGAACATTTCTGCACGTGCACCCGTGAATGAGGCCTGTTGTTAGTGTTTCGTGTTGAAATGGCAGTCACCTCTCTGTGTGTTGCTTACCTGTCAGGACCATCCTGGTGCAGATGGTGAGTGCTGCAGGGACCGGATACTTCTTCAACACAAAGAGGAACCGACTCAGAGACAAACTGGTGCTGCGCAAACACGATCCATTTGGTAAGAGCCGTGTGAGGACAACTATGACACACAAATACTCATTAAAGCAAAATCCATATAACCCAGGATATCTTTTCCTTGTCTGGCTTCACTTATTCAAGCGGCAGCAAGCAGGCTAAGCAGTCACATGAAGGTGTTGGCACTTTAATAAATCACTACTTGAAAAGTGAACCCAGGGTTTCCCAATCGACCTTTGAGCACACAACAGTATATGATTGTTTTTCTTTTAACTTGGAAACTATTTGTATTTAAACATGTGGTGTGATCAAAACATTCTTCCCAAAGTGAAAAGCCGTACCTGATTCTAAATTTGGCAAACCTCCAGTTCAAGATTATCTTCTCGGGCATATCCAGAAAGCTTCAATTGTTGCTGCTATTTTTAGAGATGTCCTTGGCTGTCCTGTTCTGACCATTTTCACTGAGAGTTTCATCATGACCTCACTGTGCTCACAATTTTGACACACTGGAGGGGATACAAACAAAAGTACAGGGGGACAAATATAATTTGACTTCTGCTGAGTGATCCAAACTGTCCAAGCGTAGCACCTGGAATAATGACCTGGAATAGATTAGTCCAATTTAAAATCAGCTAAGGATTCAAATTTATGGTGGACCTGTTTTCAGAACGTGTTGGTCACACCTTCTGTTCACCCCAGTGAAATAAACAAAACCCATATTTGGAGTGATCCTTGACTTCCACCTACTTTCTGCTTTTTGTCTTTTTAGTGAACAAGCACGTCCTGTTTTTTGAGAAGAGGAAGATCAGATCGATTTAACCGCAGCACACCGACACACACAGATGGACAAAATGAACTTGCAGAGGTTTAAAGGCATCGTTTTTATTGCCGGGGATGGTACAGCGGGTTAATCTGGTTGACGTGTTTATCAGAGGATTTCTTCCTGGATGGATAAAAGTGGAACTCCAGGCTTGAACAAAAGAGACTTGAAACCAGAAAAGTGATGTTATGTAAGGGGACCACCGCTGCCATGATCTGAAGCTGTTCATTGGTTCAAAATAATTATTTAATCGGGTGAATGTACTTTGTGAAACATTTGTTGTGGTTAATTCAAATAAAATAATCTCAATGATTGACTTATCTTTAAATTGATTACCATTAAAGCTATCTTCAGCAGCAAATTTTCATAAGAACATTTAGTCTTGAGTCTTTCTGACCCCATTCAGATGTGGTCCCTTAACATCAGGGTCTACTGCTACTCTTGGAAGTATTCATTTGGGAGGTCCCGTCTGTACGGAAAAGACGTCTGCGTGCCGATTTCCCGCACGCTCACCCCTGCCACCAGATTGGCTCTGCGGGCCATCTCCTCCAGAGGCATGTGTGGGTGGTTGGCCATGTAAAATGCCAGTGCTCCAATGAAGCTATCACCAGCACCCTGAGAAGAAATAAAACAACAATGCATTGTTAAGGGGACCTTATTTTCAAACAGGTGGCAGTTAAATACAGACAAAATTTCAAGTAATGAGGTCAGCGTATGTGAAGCCAGGTTTAGACCGTTTTTTCTCTTGGCTCTATATTTTACATAGTGACATTTATGAGGGGCAGCCAATCAGAAGAAAGATTGCTCAAGGCAGCATGGAAGAGCGCTAAAACAGGTCATTTCATGCAGAGGATGAACTGAGCTGCACTGTAGCTCAGTATTACATTTGAATATTTTGAACTCTGAATCATGCAAAGCTACTGCAATTGAGTCCAGTATTAAAAAACAGGAATCTAAAAATTAATAAAATCAGTCTACAATCTATATGGCACAATATACCAAATAAATTATGCAATTTCAATCCCTTTTATTTCATTTGTTATGCAACCTGGTTAAATAATAAAATACTGGCATCTCAGGCAGATTTCCCCAGATTTCTTTTTGGGGAAAAAATTTGGGTTTTTCATCAGATTTCATTACCACAGATATGTCGCGTACACTCTGGGGCTCCTTCATTAACACCACCCCTCATATCTAAATGTATTAACCTGAACTCTTTTCATTTAAAAGTGTATATACTCATTTTTGGTTCCCTTTTGGTCTGAGCTACTTTTTTTTAATTTTTTTTTATTAGTATAAGCTGTGGATTTTTACCATCTATCATCACTACTTACTTGCTTTTTCTGCCATTTATCCATCGCTGTTAACAATTTAACCTCCTTAGAAATTACTTTTAGCAGTACTACTAATGGCATTTCAGGCTATTTACAGGCCCATAAAAAGGGCCTTAAAAGGTAATAGACTTTTAAAGGTTCAAATTACATCACAGCATTGGTTTACAGTTTTAAGATTTGCATTAGGTTACTGAACAACTACAGCTTTGTCTAAAAAAGAATTCTTAAAAAGGGAATAATCACCCACAGTATTCATGTTAACTGACAATATTCAGTAAATATTCTGGCATGAAATTATGCTGACACTGACTTGTGTAAGATAGAGAAAAATATTATATTATTTAATCGAAGAAACATGTTACCTGTCACTTTGTGTTAAGTTGTCCCAAATTATCTGAGTGTTTGTTACCAAAGAGCCAGACTTTATGAGAAACTTTCAAAGTTTTTGTTTGGACATTGGCTTCTTTTACTCATTTTCTGTGAATTCCTCGTCATTTCCGAAGAATGAATATATATTTAAAAAGCCACTTAATAGATCTATGAATCATTCAAACAGGAAAAAGGCTCCTAACTCAAGGGATGAATCACTGTTGTGTCTACGCACAACCGACAATTTAACAAAAAAAACCTTATTTTAAATTTTATCTTAGTTACTAACAACTTGTAACAAAAACACATAATTTGTTCCCATGTCTTTAGTTGAATCTACAAAAAAGGCCAAACAATAAAAATAAAAATAACTGGGCTCTTAGTTAAAAACATGGCATATATTTGCATGGTGTGTCCAGACTAGACAAGTGGAGGACAAAAGCAGTAGCATGCATAAAAAAATTCTACAATAGATGAACAGTTAAGCTATATCCTTGAAAAGAAAGCTAGCAAAGACCTTCAGATGATCTGTCAGTGGAACTTAAGGAAGTGAAATGGGAAGAAAACATTGGACTGAAAATCAGAGGGATCAGGTCTTTTGAATTGTATTTCTGTGTATTTTTGCACATGCATCATTCTCAGTGTCAGATTTCTAATTTTCCAGGCAAAATATTAAGAAATGAGCCTAGCTCAAGACTTGCACAGTACCATATTCTTACATCCAGCTGACAGTTTATCAGTTATTAACGGTCTTAATCACTTATTTGTGACAGCTTAATATTCCACTACTTTTATCTTTTAGTCCACTAAACAATGGCTGATTCTTTACAGAAATATTTTATCTATTTATCCATACTTACCCCTAACTGAACCTTTATAATTGTAGCCTGACTTTAAAAGGAGACTACAGCTTTTCTCTACTAAGCATTTTAATATTTTGAAACACATTTTAGTTTTTCACTTCTACTGCTTATTCTTCTATTTTTTTTAGCACACATTATTATTATTATTATTTTAATATATATTAGTTGTGTTAATCTTTCCAAGGTCCCCCAGCTACTACTGAAGTAACCTTTTGGAGTAGCTGTAACCCTGGACTATTGTCCCAGTCAACAATTCCTGAAAACATGAAAGCTGGAGGGGAAAAAAAGTCAATTTAAAATATTTGGATTTTTTTCAAATATTTTTCCTAAAATGCTTCTTTCTGGGGGTTTTTAAATTATTATTATTTTAGAGAGAACATGAAACACACTTAAAAGACGAGGGGAAGCTTCATGTCTAAATTCACTAAGCTGCCAACAGTAGGGGGTGCTGTGGCATTTTCCAGCTGTTTGACTTGTACTGCTGCCTGCAACTAGTTTGAAATGACTTACTGGTTTGCCCTGTGTGAAAGTGTGTCTGTCAACTCTAACAAAACATCAGCATTAAGGGCTTTAATCGGTTTCACGTAAAACCAGCAAAGTCATAAATCTGGCACTCGTGAAATGCCTAAAATGTGATCTGTTTCCCAACATCCTTTAAGGATGTTAAGTGTTTTATCATCTGATCAAATGACTACAGAAAGAAAAGCCAGCTTTCACTAATTGTTTTAAAAAGTCAGCTGAGTAACACGCGGCTGCCTCCTAACCTAACTGCCAGCAGCTCTGGTGTTTGGTTATTACCAGGAGCACATAAATCAAACCCTCATCTATTGATAAAGAAGGAATGTGCTGTGTACGCCCTGGAGGGGTGGTTTGCTGGGACGGGATGTCTAGAAGGGGTTTGTGTGTATGTGTGGGGGGGGCTCACTGATGGGAAAAAGCACACTGGTATGTGGCGACATGCTCATGTTTAACCACAAATGGCCCCCCGACGCTGGTTCACACAAGCCCGCTCCATTACTCATCACATCGGCGCTCAAAAGACTTCATTGCACTCTCTACTGAGCATCTCTGTGAGCCTCCCCTGCTCATCCTCCAACTGCAAAGTAACGCTTTTGTCAAAGTGATGATTCAGTGGCATGGCGCAAAAACAAAAACCCCCAGCAACCCCCAAAATAACACTTCTGATTTGACCGTTACTGCACCTCTCCCTCCAGGCTCTTGCCTCTGGTGTGACTCCTGGACGGCAGAGATGCTGGAAAGAGTGAGATCAGAGATGAAACATTTCACAGGCCTGCTGGATTTCCATGTTTAAACCCTTGGCGTGTTTATGTCTCCTGTCTGGTAGCTGGGCTGGGTTACAGTGAAGCCTGCGTTTGGAACTGAAGCTTTGGTGGAGTGGCTCCACTGGTTTGACTCTGGCCCGTCTCCCAGTTAACATGTTGGGGTTGAGATGACTTTTGAGTGGGGATTGATGGTAGCAGCCAAAAGATTATGTGATAGAAACTGGAAGATTGCAGTCTTCATAGTCACAACAATAGATGATTATTTTTTAACCACAGGATGCTTCACATGATGACGTCCCAGTAATCCCTGCAAACACAGCCACCTCTGTCTTGTCACACTACAAAGAGGCTGGAACAAGTTTTAAATGAGCCAAATTCTTTATGAATGAAAAAAAAGCCTTTAAATGCATTCCTTGACAGACAAAAGTGACGTAAAGTGGACCTATTTCTTTTTTCCTGATTGTTCCAAGTGTTACAAAGGACAATAGACCCACAGACTCCCATGTTAAAATGAGAAATAATACTTACAGCCTGGGATGAAATCTGATTTAGTCTCCTATTATAACACATGTACAAAAAGCGGGAAAAAGAATAGATTTTAGGGCAACTTAAAGCCAGGGGGTGTGGCAGCTTGTTTGACAGGCTTTAGAGTAGGGTTTGACAAACCCATTACATGTGTCACGTATATATATGCCACATGTAAAAACCAACATTTATCTACAGTTCAAGTTACATACATATCCAATATATATCCTACCATTTTAAAGGTAGGATATATACGGGCTTTTTATCTGCTACTGCAGTTTCCAACAAAGGAATAACCTCGGCAACCAAAAACTGCAGTTCCGCCAATGGCCACCTGTGGCTGACTCTAAAAGCGAGTCCAACCCATAGACTCCTGTTAAAACGCTCATCTTTACAGCAACAGTAAACATGAATGCAGCCTGATGCACAAAATTACTTTAGTAGATAAAGCTCTTTTTATGTGGGAAGTTGGCTGTATGGGGCTGAATTTACTTATAATAATTTAGATTTTGTTAGGGCTTAAAGTCAGAGGTGTCAATACAGGCACCTGTCTGCTGGTTGGAGGCACTAATTGAAGGCACTGACACAGAGTGTTGAACTGATTTAATGCCTTTTTGGAGCATCTTTATTTGAATTATCTGACTAATATCACTTCCTGTATAGTATAAACAGTCTTAAGAAGTTTTTGCTTCATTTTGGGTGAGTAAAATTGTACAATACTTTATTAGTCTACACATTGAAATACACTGAGGTGTTGCTTGCCTGGTTTTCAATATCCTGCACTTTGAACCTAACAAGCTCCTTGCCACAGAACACTCAACACTCTTTTTCACAGTAAAGTCAGCCATTCTGACCTGTGACTGAGAAGCTGGCTCTTTAACAGTAGGAGGGATTCATAACGACATGGCCAGAATTATTGGTACCCCTCCAATTTAGAAAG